TATGTGAATTCAGCTTAAATTTGTTCATGGCACGGACTTTAAAAAAAAGCTTTTTCTTTTTAAATAAAAACAATCTGCAATTTTTTATACCAGCTTCTCGGAAAAAAACCGACGTTGGTGTTTTTGTTGGAGGATGGGTTCCAGATATCGGTGAGAGCATCGATTCCACACGAGTACTCTTTGCCAATCACATTTCCATGTTCCCTGTCTAAGTGGCATACAACATCACTCACTCTCCTTTGCTGTGCGTCGTGTTGTGGCACAGCATATTGATGTTGGCATTGTTTTATTACCGCGACCAGCAATCAATGATCAAATAGCACATCGCTGAGTAAAACAGTGTCTGAATATGGATCACTGAGACCAATTGACCGAATAGAAGTCGAGAGACCCAAACCTGATCAACACAATATGAGTACAGATGCTTTGCAACCATAACTCCCAGACAAAACTAGACCGTCAACTTACAACCAATTGGGCTCTCTGATTCCCCCTTGGAACTGATGTCAGTCAAATTGCTAACCCTTACTCCGTCTTTATACAGAAACAAATCCGTTATTCCCACAAAGGTATGTTTATCCACCAAAAGGTCTTAGTCTTGTGACGTTTAAGCAAATATATCAGCCCATCTTATCATTAATAACCACTATGGCCTTCGTTAGGCCACGCTGATGTCATCTTTAAGACCGCCAGCATCCCGCCTAGGTACGTGGCAGCGGTTAAGGATGCTTACTGTACACGATAAACGATAGGGCTCTCGGGATGGCTAAATAACATTACCACCATTACTCGTCTGTCCCTCTAGACGACACCGGGTGAGAAAACGCAGAGTGGGGACAAGGTGTGTCCCTAGAGAATGCTTGTCTCCTGTGTCTCTTTATTGAATTTGTCATCCATTACCTTGCCCTGACGAACATTAGACAAGGAAAGATTGGGAAAATATTGCTGTAATTTGAGGTTGGCCTTATCATAGTACGTAAGGCAGTGCCCGGAGCGGCTCTTTGTTCCTGTAATAGGCAGGATGGTGCTGTTGTGGTGATTAGTTGTGCTTGCAAAGGAAGTGAAATCTCGACCACATCTCGCGTTATCTCGTAGCTTAGAATCCTGTTAGTGGTCATAGATATTGTTAATATGCTGTTGTTAACGAACTGGTCGACGAAGAATTTGACACGCGTGAAGCCAAGGTTATTTGATGTATAAGCTGACATTAACGGTGTTACCAACGACGGTGTATGTGTCAGGTGTACGAGATCTCGCGACACTTTACGAGAGTTGACACAAGAAACTAGTTGGTCTCTTAACAAAATCAGAGGAAAGGATGCGGCGTAGTACTGATAGAGCTTCAACTCGGTAGGTGTGATATTCTTTCTTCATTTGAATGTTTCCAATTTCAGTGTTCAAATACAGTATGTATTGAAACAGATTTTTTTCGCGAAGCGTTATGCGCTAAACACTTAGTTTCACTAATAAGGCGTATATTAAAGTCACTTAAATGTTTCTTATAAATTGTATAGATACAGATAAACTCTGAACACACTGATACTAAGATCAATAGATGATACTTAAGTGTTAAGAGTGAGTGAGTGAGTTGGGTTTAAAGCCGCTTTTAACAGTTTTCCAGTTATATCACGGCGTGTCAGCTTAATGTGGGAGGAAAGCCCGAAGTGATGCTGGTCTCAGACGTTTACCACTTCGGTTAAACTCACGAGCACGGGTATGGTGCTGACAAACCTAGAAACATAATCGGGGCGAACCGGGATTCGAACCCACAATCATAGGTTTCTGGCGTGCCCAAGGGACGCAACTCTGCACAGCGAATCGCGGCGCCTTAGACGACTGGGCCACCATGCCCCCTAAGTGTTAAGAACCTCTTACATTAAGCACAACGTTATCTGTCGAACTTAAAACACCAATAACGATTATTTTTGAAAAAGTTTTATAAAGGAAACATGTTTAATTAACTTGAATGTAATATTTCCCTGTTTCATGTGTTTTCATGTCTTGAATTATGGTCTAAGATGTAAAGCATCGATGAAGCTTCATCAAGAAAGACTTCTCTTATGTCCGGATACACACGTTACCATAGCAACAAAATGAATTTTGGATAAAATACTATCATATCATTGTGGCTTCGGATTTAAAATAAAGAAACGCGTCAAAACCGTTTACATAATCATAAGAAATAAGAGTTCGTTGTACGATTTCGACTTTATCATGAGTACATGTCTATGAATCACGGGGACCACGGGTGACCCAGGCGTCTGAGACCTGCATCATTTCGGGCTTTCCTCCCACATCAAGCTGTTGACACCAGGAATGGGCCTCACACAATTTGTACAGTGTAACCCACAGCTCACCTTCACAGACTGCTTATTGATTAAAGTTACGTTTACGTCAACCTTTGTGTCAATGGTATTGAGCTGGCGCATCTCACGAACCTGGCTTTAATAGGCGAGCTCATTAACCGACGTCATTAGCGACCTCATTACCGACTGCGTATTATGTTTGTCTCTATTTTGTCTGTAAAATGTTGTTTTAATGATAATGAAGACGATCGTAATCCCCATACTTTAACACTGGTATCATACATTACGGTAGTCCTAGCGCTCCGATCGCTTCGTGGAGCTGGGCCGTTACTGTGTGTCATCGTGTTACGACGGCGTATAGATTTGCTCATACTATCAACCACTGATTTTGCCTGGACGAAAATCGAATAGTTCCAGGTTTCAGCTTGGTTGATCAGCATTCCCTAATGCAAATTTGCAACAACGTTGATCCTATCCGGCCAGATATGAGAGTGTTCTGCCAGACAGTTACGACTATCCATCAACCTCGGAGTAAACCTCGTTTCCTTTGCATGTGTTTGTAACGGGAGCCACCATTGGTGCAGGATACGCTCACGTTTTCGCGAACACCTTATATCATAACTGTTTGATAGCGATTCATAAACATACACTCGTGATATAGTCGGGTTCGGACAATGGATTATGGAAGGTTTTTGTAGTTTTATTTATTTCAAATCTCAAGCCGCATTAAGGCTGCATCTCAATAATAGTATTTTATCCCAACGACATTTTCTTGCTACAATACAATCGACTCTGCTTTATGCAGAGATTTCTATTGGATATGGAAAGGGCTTTGTCGCTTTATTTACACACCTGTGGGTGACCAACCCATTTCAGATAATTGGCATCAATCATGTGTGACTGAATTCCAGGTCCGTGATTGGCTACTCCATGACGGACTACTTTCTTGATTGTAATCCATTCATTCGTGACCAAATCGTGTTATTCCGGGACAAGCCGAATAGCGACTCGTGCCCCTCTCGTGGCCATTTTGGCGACCGGTTCCGTCTTAGCGCAAACGGGCATACCTAAAACAATTGTCAACTCGTTTCGCAATGGTTCACATATCTTTCCCCATAAATTAGATATATTTCAGATGCAATTAAAAGCACATCTGGACATGCGGATTTGTACAGTATGATTGAACACATTTAACTGTGTCTTGGGTATATTTTTAGATGCAAGACATATGTAAAATCAAAAATTGTTTCTAAGGGATTCTTTGACGAAGAACTTGAAATCATACGCGCATTCTGATTGGTTTGTTGTATTTTCGCACATAACATTCATCGATAGAGGGACGAGTCGTCTTGCAGGCGAGTGGTGACGAATGTAATCCATTAAGTTTCTCGTGCTTCAGTCGAATTCTCTGCTTCTGTGTCGAATCTATGTGTATTATAGTGTTTAATAAATGTTCAGGATCTAGGTTTAATTATCATCATCGCCTTGACAATCCACAGATACGGCTGGAACTTTTTTTGTGGAGGGTCACACTAGATATGAGTAGTAAACAGATAGACGGGTGAAGTCAGTCATGACCGTTGCGTTATGTATCATGACGCGATCATGACAATAGCCTAAATATGCATTGATTCGATGCTAATATAGTGCGAATCGTTAGATACGTTTTGAAACAACGTTGTGAGATAAATGGTATCTGACAGACACTCGTGTAGTAATCTCTATTTATCACATCCTCATTTGTTAGCTTCAGTCTGAAAAGCTGATATGAGTTCCTTTTACCTCAAAGTGTTTTATATGTTCGTGTTGATGCTGATAACTGTTATTTCATCTTCAGTTTATCTTCATCCTTTGGGATTTTAGGTTTGATTAGGTTCACAGCAACCTATACTTCTCGTACGAAACAACTTAGTGTGAATCGTTGCTCATAATATTAATCACTGATATATATACTTGTAACTAGTAGTAAAGACCGTCTTTATACTGCTGAACTATTGCTGTGTGCGGGGTTAAACAACGAACAAACAAATCACTTTAGCATACAATGAACCCTCTTTAACTCGAAGTCCTTGGAAGAGTCGAAAATACATCGAGTTATCCGCTGTTCGATACAAACGGGGTGTAGACATAAAGCTTTATCGTATCATACATTACATCAAGTCAATTGAAAATTGAATTATTGAAGTTAAGGGGGAATTGGTCTCTGTTAAATTGGCATTACTATCAACTTTAATTCACGTTATTCCAAAACTATTTCTTTGTGGTAAACTCCAATGTTATAAAATATATTACTCACAAGAAGTTAAGGAACACCTATTCTTTTATATTACTGTAATTAATCTGTCATCCCATGGTAGCTTAACTATAGTAATATAAAATATTCGAATGTTCTTTAACTTAATTTGAGTAGTATATATTACTCTTGTAGTTGATGGTTACTCTACTTAAACAGATTGACCGACAAGTGGCACCAGATCTAGGGGCATACTGCCCCTTTAATATGTTTGTGTTTATGCGATTCTTTATTCAATATATTGTTTAATTTGTATGATCATTGAATCGTCAATATTGTGAGTTTCACCATTAATCCGTATATTTCAGTTAGAAACTTCCAACATGGGAATTCAAAGCTGACCTTCAGTATCAGCTGACCTCAACCCTCAACATCTGACCTCTGACCTTTGACCCAGCATAATGAGCAACAGACCGTGTTCGAAGCGCGCGTGTACTCTCACGTGGTCCGTGCTGGAGTGTGTGTTCTTCGCCGGCGTGGTGCTGGGTTGGTCCTGGCTCATGGTCGTCTTCAGATCAGACAAATACTTTGTGGATTTGTGTAACATCACTGACCTCGATCTGGGCCCCGGGGAGCTGCTTAAAGGAATCTACCAGACAACAACCAAAGCCCCGGTCAGACGAAAACCCTGTCGAAAACCAAACCGCAGACAACGTGACGTCACAGAAGACGTGCAAGTTTACAGTGCCTATTACACAAACCTCAAACATGCGTCCACTGTGGCTGTGTATGACGTCACGACAGTCGCAGCCAATGAGGAAGCTGAGAATTCTACGAGAAAGGATTTCATTGGTTGTTGGGAGCAGAACGAGCAGCTGCGGGTGTTGTTTGCCCTGGTGGTGATCATCCGAGACGTTCTTGTGTTTCCGATTGGAATATTCTTTGACAAGTATGGTACCACACGGACCCGGCTGCTCACGGTGTAAGTAGTCGGGCAAATCTGCCATGTCAGATTTTTATGTCATGTTATGGTCATGCTCTTACGTTCAGATATACCTATATATCTATATATACCACCGCTTGGTACGATAAATCTATGAAAATCTTCTCTTTTACCGTTTGGTGGTTTCAAAACTATTACCCCTGTTTATGAAACGAAAAAGGATTTGAATATGAATTGAAAAAAAAGGGTAATTTATATTCAATTCAAATTATATATATATTGTCCTTTTTCATATGTATATAGTCCTAAATATTGAAAATTCGAATTCAATTCCTTTTTCGTTCCTTAAACAGCGGTAATAGTTTTGAAACAACCCAGCGGTAAAGACAAGATATTTCATGGATCTTTTTTACCAAGCAGTGTTAATTAAAACTCGAATTGGGATTGGTGCTAATAGCACAGAAAGCGCCCGGAACCGGAACATGATTTACCTTTCAAAAACGTCGACCAGACCGAGAAATAAGTATCTGACCTCACACTTCACCATTTGAGCATGTATTTAAGCTGTGAGAACAGGAAACATGAAACACGATAATGCTTTCATAATCAGCAATTGTCAGACAGTTCGTCGTGTGTCGGGCTTCGGGCTTTCCTCCCACATTAAGCTGACACGCCATGATATAACTGGAATACTGTTAAAAACGGCGTTAAATCCAACTCACTCACTCACTCATCGTGTGTCTGCCATCACATTCATGGTAATGGTTCTTCAAAATTAACGCAATTATTCCATATTTCAAAAGTATCCAAACCGTTGCCGTTAAATTGTGTGAACAGGTATTTTAATTCCACACGCCTTGATATGTCTCTCTCATGCAATTAATCCCAAAGGTGGCATTACCTCTGACCAAAGATTAAACTTCTTTGTTTTCACTTTCCATGCTATACAGAGGTCAAAATGCAACTCTATGCGGAAATTGAGACTTGAACGATATCAGATTATAACAAGTAAATAAAACGAAGATTTGTAAATCTGATCTGACAATATTATAGAACATATATTCGCGAGAATGAGAATTGGAACCCCAGTGGTCGACCCGTGAAGGTCCGGGGAAGAAAATAGGTCTTCAAAAACCCATACTTGTCGTAAGAGGCGACTAACGGGATTGGATGGTCAGGCTCGCTAAATTGGTTGATGCATGTCATCGTATCCCAATTGCGTGGATCAATGCTCACGGTGCCAATCACTAGATTATCTGGTCTAGCCTCGATTATTTACAGACGGCGTCATATAGCTGGAATATTGCTGAGTGCGGCGTTAAACAACAAACAAACAAACAAAACACGAAGGACGTTACCAAGTTACCGTATAGTTCTGATACTATCATTAAACAACAAACAAAACAAGAAGAACGTTACCAAGTTACCGTATAGTTCTGATACTATCATTAAACAACAAACAAAACAAGAAGGACGTTACCAAGTTATCGTATAGTTCTGATACTATCGTCAAACAACAAACAAAACAAGAAGGACGTTACCAAGTTATCGTATAGTTCTGATACTATCGTTAAACAACAAACAAAACAAGATGGACGTTACCAAGTTATCGTATAGTTCTGATACTATCGTTAAACAACAAACAAAACAAGATGGACGTTACCAAGTTACCGTATAGTTCTGATACTATCGTTAAACAACAAACAAAACAAGAAGGACGTTACCAAGTTATCGTATAGTTCTGATACTATCGTCAAACAACAAACAAAACAAGAAGGACGTTACCAAGTTATCGTATAGTTCTGATACTATCGTCAAACAACAAACAAAACAAGAAGGACGTTACCAAGTTATCGTATAGTTCTGATACTATCGTTAAACAACAAACAAAACAAGAAGAACGTTACCAAGTTACCGTATAGTTCTGATACTATCGTTAAACAACAAACAAACAAGAAGGACGTTACCAAGTTATCGTATAGTTCTGATACTATCGTTAAACAACAAACAAAACAAGATGGACGTTACCAAGTTACCGTATAGTTCTGATACTATCATTAAACAACAAACGAGCAAACAAAACAAAAAACGGCGTATAGGGGCTGTCAAGTTCCGATGGTCGCAGGTTCGAATCCAAACCTCAACCCAATTGTCGTCCTTGGTTTGTCCGCATCCTATCCGTGCTCATGGATGCTACATAAATGAAATACGGAACAATATTTCGTGAAAAAACATACCTTCACTCAAACACTTCAAGTTGAAACTGACGTGTTTAAGGTCAAGTGTCACCACCACGCTATCAACGTACAGGGACGTTGCATAAGCTGGGTATTTTTTCAGTCTCAGAGATCTAAGCGCTGATATTATTCAGCTGCTGCCATTAACACTTTGTAGTTTGACACAAATTGGGGAAAAAATCATTTATTGATGATCTGAAACCGTTTTTGATCTTTGTTACAACTGAGCCCCTTCAACGCGTCTCCATCTCGTCACCTGCCAGTTGAACGTCCATCTCGCAATTGTACACACGTTCATCGTGTCGACATTCTATCTCAGAAAAACTCAACCCTTTTCACACAGAAAATATCAAACATTTCAAGTGAAACAAATTTCCGATGAAGTGAAAACTGTTTTATTTCTTTGTTGACAGTTGGAATGCCACATTTAATACTTGACATAATAGACAATATACCCTGACATCCGACAGTTCTTGGAATGCCATATTTTAATACTTGACATAATAGACAATATACCCTGACATCCGACAGTTCTTGGAATGCCATATTTTTATACTTGACATAATAGACAATGTACCTGACATCTTACTTTTCTTGGAATGCCATATTTTTATACTTGACATACCAGACAATATACCCTGACATCCGACAGTTCTTGGAATGCCATATTTTTATACTTGACATAATAGACAATGTACCTGACATCTTACTTTTCTTGGAATGCCATATTTTTATACTTGACATACCAGACAATATACCCTGACATCCGACTGTTCTGGAAATGCCATATTTTAATACTTGACATAATAGACAGTATACCCTGACATCCGACAGTTCTTGGAATGCCATAGTTTAATACTTGACATGCTAGACAATATACCCTGACATCCAACTGTTCTTGGAATGCCATATTTTTATACTTGACATAGCAGACAATGTACCTGACATCCAACAGTTCTTGGAATGCCATAGTTTAATACTTGACATAATAGACAATATACCTTGACATCCGACAGTTCTTGGAATGCCATAGTTTAATACTTGACATGCTAGGCAATTTATCCTGACATCCAACTGTTCTCGGAATGCCATATTTTAATACTTGACATACCAGACAATGTACCTGACATCCAACTGTTCTTGGAATGCCATAGTTTAATACTTGACATAATAGGCAATATACCCTGACATCCAACAGTTCTTGGAATGCCATATTTTTATACTTGACATGACAGACAATATACCCTGACATCCGACGGTTCTTGGAATGCCATATTTATTTACTTGACATGACAGACAATATACCCTGACATCCGACAGTTCTTGGAATGCCATAGTTTCATACTTGACATAATAGACAATATACCTTGACATCCGACAGTTCTTGGAATGCCATAGTTTAATACTTGACATGCTAGGCAATATACCCTGACATCCAACTGTTCTTGGAATGCCATATTTTAATACTTGACATACCAGACAATGTACCTGACATCCAACTGTTCTTGGAATGCCATAGTTTAATACTTGACATAATAGACAATATACCCTGACATCCAACAGTTCTTGGAATGCCATATTTTTATACTTGACATGACAGACAATATACCCTGACATCCGACAGTTCTTGGAATGCCATATTTATTTACTTGACATGACAGACAATATACCCTGACATCCGACAGTTCTTGGAATGCCATATTTTTATACTTGACATACCAGACAATGTACCTGACATCTGACAGTTCTTGGAATGCCATATTTTTAATACTTGACATGACAGACAATATACCCTGACATCCGACAGTTCTTGGAATGCCATATTTTTATACTTGACATAATAGACAATATACCCTGACATCCGACAGTTCTTGGAATACCATATTTTAATACTTGACATGACAGACAATATACCCTGCCATCCGACAGTTCTTGGAATGCCATTTTTTAATACTTGACATAATAAACAAAATACCCTGACATCCATAAGTGATATAACTGGAATACTTTTACAGCGGCGTTAAAACCAAACTCACTCACTCACACACATAAACACATGTTGCATCATTGTCTAACCCAAGCTACAATCCGAGGTGTGAGGCTGAAATTAATAAAGATAAAATAGATGAGCTAAGCAATCGGACATTGGGCTTTGTAATAATTAGGCCAGTGACATAAGCCTATGTCACCGTGCACCAGGAAGACCAGGTTTAGAGGCATCTGGGTTCCCCGTCGAGTCCATTACACTGTCTCCCTGTCGAACAAGCTCTGCTGGATTGTCCAGGGAGAATCGCTTTTTTATTGGTGTTTCTTCTGCTGATGAGAAATGTCTACATCTAATGAACTCCGACGGCTTAAAACACATCCCCGCCTGAGTCGTTAGCTTGTGCCGGACAGGTAAAATGGCTGAAGATTGGGTCCGAATTAAGGAGTTTCCGACTGATCGATGCATAGTCCGATACAACAGGCCTCTCGGGCATGGAAATGTTCTATTTCATTAGATATAAGTAACTATGTGTGTGACGTTTCCGAATTGCCGTACAGGCACAAATTAAAGTAACTATCTATCGTCTTCTATCTTGCACTCTCGGCTACTTTCTCGTATCTCGTCCCTCTCTCGTAGTCTCGTCCCGCTCTCGTAGTCTCGCCCCTCTCTCGTCTCTCCCTCGTACTCTCGTCCCTCTCTCGTAGTCTCGCCCCCCTCTCGTAGTCTCGTCCCTCTCTAGTACTCGCGTCCCTCCCTCGTAGACTCGCCCCAACCCCTACCCCCCACCCCTTCCTTGTACTCTCGTCCTCTCTCGT